TACGATAACAAATTTGATTATTATGTTTGTACCATAAATTTTTTTTTTTTTAATACCGATTATATTATTTCTTTGCTCCGTTGAAGATAGTTCAAAGAGGAAGCAAAACGTTCGAATGATACCGTTTGAAATAAAGGATTTTTTAAAATAATTACTATCAACAGCGTTGACTCATATTAGCCATGTAATTAATTTAATTTTTTCAATTTATAAATGATAAACATATTGCGAAAAGCAATGTACAAATACTGTTTGCTGAACGTATCTTTGCCCATTGACATGCAACAGATTTTTTTAACTTCTATTTCTGTTCGCTGATATTTCTTCTTGTGACATAAAATTGAAATGTTGCAATTTATAGAAAGCAAATCAACTATGGATTTATTATAGCGTATTATAGCGTACAAAGTTCACTTTCTAACGATGTACTAATTACTGGCATTATTTTGTTATTGGCGTTAATTTGTTATTAGCGTTATTACAGTTATCATATAATTAATCATATTTAAATAATAAATGTTCATCTGTATCTGCAGTAAAAAATAATTTCTGTGTAATATTTATTTCTTCTTATTAAAAAAAATTATAAAATTTTTAATATTTAATATTATAATATTTTAATTTAAATTTTAATTTTAGATGAACATTTAAATCAATAACACAATTTTATAAATCATTTAATTATAATTTTATAATTTTAGTAATTAGATATTTAATTGTTTTGAGTTTTGCAATTACGTTCTTTTTCCAGGTTTCACAATTTTTTAACCAACTTTTTTCCAATTACATGCCGATAATTATATAGATACAAACTTATTTATATTAGTTAGTTATTAGATATTTAATTGTTTTGGGTTTTGCAATTATGTTCTTTTTCTAGATTTCACAATTTTTTAATTAACTAATGTTTTCTAATTACATACCGATAATTACGTAGATACAAACTTATTTTCCCTTGTTTCCCTCGAAATTATTCTAGCAGAGAATGACTATTTTCCCCTCTATTTGACCCCTCATTTTCTCCCCTTAGAAACCGTTACAAAGAACGACTGGCCTCAGGCTAAGCGTTTCATTTTAAAACGAGTCGGCCAGTTAGCTAAATATGTGATGTAGCGCGAGTTTAGGAATCTCCTCGCGTCGTTTATCCTTTATGAAAATGACGATCATACAGGGATATAATAGGATCCAGTGGAAGTGAAAATAAGTTCTATTGTTGGGAACACGGAGTTTCATTGCAAAACTCGATAACAAAGTTCAAGAGAATAGGATTGTTATTGAACAAACCGAGAGAACATGGGAAACTTTTATAATAATGATAGATTCTAATTTCTATGGCTGTGAGCAAAAGAGAAGGATAATATCTAAAATAAAATAGTCATATAATTACATTGCCTATTATATAATTTTTAGTTCTTTTCTGCCTTTCTGAATGCTCAATATTCATTCTCTATTAATATCTACGGATAACAAGGTCGCTTGATAATTCTAATAGACTTTTAATTGGAAATTCAACGATAATGATTGATAAATGGAGTGGATTATCTAAAGACAACAAGCATGTTAAGCATAATCTTATTATCTTATGTTAATTAATTATGAATACGAAATTAATTAGCAAATTATTTCTCATAAGCATGATTGAAAATTTTTTTATTTTATGATAACTTTTGTTTATCATAATTGCATAATGAAACAAAACAGTAAAAATTTGAAAATGCAGAAATCCGATTAGATATTATTCGTATATTATTTTCTCCTTCTGTCATATTTTTCTTCTTCTTTCCTTGACTTGTAAGGAGCTTTTCCTTTTAATTTGAATACAGCATTTATTGTTACGATACAAAGTAGGAATAAAATAAAAATAATTGGACTGTTGTGGGTAAGACCAGCTCGCAATCATTTCTTTTGTAAAGTAACATGAAGATGTTTGTATCGGCAATGTTTATTTGGAGATTAGATAATAAAACTTTTATGAAGAAGAACAAGAAGAAAAAGCTTAGTAGGACGAAATAAATCGGGCACCGAATATTAATTCGTTAAAGAAAACATTTATTCTGTTTCTTAGAAATTATAGTAAATTTTCTGTCGTTCGATATTTTGTTTTAATTTAATTATAGAGATCTTACATAGACATAGTTGTTATGTAAGAAATACGATTATTCATGCAAAAAAAAATTTGATAAATCATACATGAATTTACATTAGATTCTTGTCAGTATATTGAAATAAAATAATCAACGATAATGATTTAATATAAGTCAATATTATTCATTTATTGCTTCCGACTGTAAGATGTGTATCTTAATTATATCTATTGCCATGTTTTTATCTGTTTTTATCGTATGCAATGACGGTATTCGCAATTACAAAATTTACATAGATAAATGGCGTGCAACTACTGCCGACTAAATTACTTCGAAGTATTATCTCAAAAACAAAATTATACGCGTATTTCAAGCCGAAGTTAATACAAATGCTAATTACGGCAATTGTATATAGAACGAAGGCTTTTCTGAGAGTGGGAAGCGTTAAATGGATATATAAGAAACGTTAAATCTGAAAAGATTATTTATTTTTCTGTTTTAATGTGTATTTGTTTCACGTGTAGCATTAGAACTCCATTAGTCATCTAATTACATTAGACTTAGATGGAAAAGCAATATATAAGAAAATTTTCCTTACAATATGAATCACTTTGTTATTCAAATCTTTTTCCACGTGGACAATATACAATATTTTTTAATAATTCTAAATAGACGTGGATTTAGTTCATTAAAAGACAGTGCAATAAGTGAGATATTTTATACTTCATTTGTTTATTTTTTCCTTCATTTCCATTATGATTTGCTATGTCATTATCATTGGATTTAACAAAGCCGTAAATATTTTTATTCTATAACTTAATGTATTTTTTAATTACATGCAATTATAATTTTAATATTCATTTCCATATTTAAATTTTATATTCTTTTCTATTATATTTTTTTTATATTTTTCTGATTTTATTATATTTTCTATTTTTTAGTAAATATTTCCAATAGTATTGTAACTTTTGTTTTATTTTATAGCTAAAGCAAGATAAACTTTCAGTAAATGATATACTTAACTGGTGATACCAATAATGATATATTTGAGACATTCAAAATAAAATAAAAATCATCTTCTTCGAGAATAATCTTTTATATTTTTATATTTATATATTTTTATATTTTAAAATTATGGAATTGTAGTTTATTTTTAACATTATTAAAAAATTTTATTTGTCAAATAAATAAGGCTGCGTATAATTTTTAAATAAAACTTTAATTCCTAGAAAAATAACAGACAATATTTAAAATATTTAGAAATTGTAAATATTAATAAATAAAAAATAGAAGATTTATATATATAAATATATATGTATGCATAAAAATAAAAATATGTTTTAAATAGCTAAAATATGGTTCTTTCTTAAAATATATTTTAATTTGCTTTATTTTATTATACCAATTAATATATTTGAAGTCATTATATTTTTATCTAACAGAACTTATAAATGAAAAAATAATATTTTTTAATAAAAAATGAATAATATTGTAATTATGAATAAAATTTTCTTTCTCTTTTTCTCTACATATATGCAGATCGGTAATATACGACCATTATTACATTAAATTTAAACAATATAAGAGAATACAAAACAGAAAAAAAAATAGTAATATATATATATGTGTGTGTGTGTGTGTGTGTGTGTGTGTGTGTGTGTGTGTGTGTGTGTGTGTGTGTGTGTGTGTGTGTGTGTATAGTATATTATTATATATA